CATGTTGTCACCAGAGACCACGGTCGGTGCGAGGGTTCCTCTGGGTGGGCGCGCATTCTGTGGGTCTGGATGGTGACAGCCGGTATCCACCGCCGCTTGTCCCACAGTGTTCCCGGCCCTGAAGGTCCCCTGCGTCCCACCTGTTCATCCCTCTGCCCCGAGCCCCTGGCAGCGGCCCTCCTGTGCTGTGTGCACAGCTCTGCTTCCCCAGGGCGTCTGGTTGTCGGGGTCCCACGGTGTGACGTTCAGGTGGGTCTCTCTGTTATCGGTGTGCGGAATCACAGCCCACTGTCTGCATGGAACACGGGGAAGCCACTCACCTGCTCAGGGGCATCTTGTTTGTCGCGGATAAAGTGCGTAAACATCCCTGCGCGGGTTTCGTGTGGATATAAGTTTTCATCCTGGCCCTTCGGGTAAATACCAGGGAGTGTGATGGCTGCATCTGAGGGGTCTGCTTCTACCCACACCAGCGCTGACTTGGTGCCTGGATGTCCCCTAGGGTCACCATCTGTGCTGCTGTGACCCCAGCAGGGGCTCCGTCTGGGGCGGCTCCGACGGCCCCTCCTGGGCTCTGATGTGTCTCCACCTCGTCGCCCGATGGCCTCCCCACTGGGAACGCCTGCACCTCCCGCCGACCCCTCAGGCCGGACCCGGGCAGGCCAGGCGCTCTGGGCTCCGGAATGACCTTGGCACACGGGCTTGAGGGCAGATAAGTGCACGTCCGTGTGACCCGGGGCCTTGGCACCGGCTGCCCCCAGACCATTCCGTGGACGAAGAATCTCAGGCTGTACAAGTCGACTTGCTGGTGGTCGAGGCTGGAGCTCAGACGAGAGCCTTTTCTGGAAAAAAAAAAAAAACCCCACAAAAATTTAAAAATTGTGCAATGACAGTGTCACTTGCTGGAAGTGACCCGGAAGAGTCAGGAAAGCATCGTCCACCCCCCCACCTCCCTCCTCCACCCATCCCCACGGCGGCTTGTGAGCATTCCTGACAAGCGCCTTCTCCTTGACCGGTTCTTCCTGGGTTTGCTCTCAGCATAAGAAATTCCAGGAGTCTGGGGGGGCGTTTCCCCAGATGGAGAACGCACCCCCCAAGGCCAGAGGTGCCCCGGCGGCCTGCGTTCCCAGACCTTGTCTGTTGCTCACGCGTGCGCCCACAGGCCTGCAGGTGCTCCCAGATGGGGCAGCGTGCAGTGTGCGTGCTGGCCACGGGGCCCTGCGTGATCCCGCCCGGTTCCTGGACCCGCGGGAGGAGGGCTGAGCAGCATGCGCATCACTGCCCCGAAGACGGGTAAACCCTAACAGATGCGTCGTTCTGGACGAGCCAGGTTTTGGGGTGTCGAGTCCCCCACCTTGGAGCCAGGGCTCCCCGGGGACTCAGGACTCGCAGGCCCCGCCCCCCGGAAGTCCGGACGCCAGCAGTGGGCCGCAAGACGAGTGTCCCCGGCGTGTCCCTCTGGTGTGGCAGCTGTCCGTACAGCACTGGTCTACGCAGAAGGAGCCACAGAGCTGGTGCTCAGCTGTCCACGGGCACAGCAGCGTCTGATGGACGCCCGCCCCTCCCGAGCCTCGTCCCTCCCCCCTCCACTGGGGGCCATCAGGGTCCAGCGGGCACTGGGGCGACCGCCACCAGCCCGCAGTCCAACCGACTCGATGACGGCTGCCATCCCACCAGGGTGGGGCTCCCAAGACGGCGGGCGGGTGCAGGGGGTCGCTCCGTGCACTGTGCGTGGGAAGGCACGCCCAAGAGAATGGATGCGGCAAGGGTCCCTGCTGCACACGCAGCGCAGGTCCGGAGGACAGGCTTGGGGCCAGGCGTGCTCCCCGAGTGCCCGCCCCACCCGGCTGTTCTCTGCCGCCGCCTCGCTGGGTCTTTCTCACGAAAGTCATTACCTGCCCGTTGTCGGAAACCAAAACGTTTATTTTGGTTTTTGATTTCATAGGAAACTTTTGGGAAAAATCAGCAAAACGCTGAAGGAAACGGGTCATTTATAATCCCCACCCCTCGATGCCTGTGCTAACGCTTTTCTCCTGCGTCCTCCCAGCCGTGCTCCGTGTGACCTGATTTATTTTCAGACCAGGGTTAGAATCACTAAGTGAGAAATTTGGGGAATATGATCTGGACTTTTGGCAAGTGTGTTTTTCCAGCCCAGAACATTCCAACTCGCAGTCCCGCGAGGGTGTCCGTGCTGCCCTTACGGTGGTCTGGGAAGCAGGGCTCGGAGGGGAGGGCTATTTCCAGGACCGGGGCGTGTCATGTCGTGGGAACCACGCTCCGCCGGGTGGAGGTCTGCGCCCTCCAGGCTCGGGCCGGCACTGGGCAGACAGAGCAGTCCTCGACGGTCCTGCGCTGGGCGCTGGGGGATGGTGTGTGGGTGGGGGAGTCGGTGCTGCTGGGACAGAGGCCCTGGAACAGCGCACCTGGAAGAACGAAGTGTCTTCTTGTGAGCGTGTGTCCTGGGCTGGGAGGCTGTCCCACGTGGCCCTTCCCCCTGGTGCCCCCACTGCGCCTTGCTGCCCGCGGTCAGCGTGACAGCCACGCAAAGGGAGTCTGTCTGTGAGAACGTGGCCACGTGGTCACATCTACCCACGAAGGAGGCCTGGGGCTGCGGCCCACGACAGACGGCGCTGTTCCCTGCCCTGTGTTTGCCGAGGGCTCCCCCTGTAGGTGCCTACCTCGCTGCCGTCTGGCTGGGACAGTGACGCACCTGCGTGCCAGAGTGCACACGTCCTCCGAGGGCGTGTGGGCAGGGCACGTGTGCTCCCCCGTGTCGGTGGCCTCGTCTCATGTGGCCGTGGCTCTGTGTGCCACCAGAAGGGATATGGTACCAGTCACACGGGGGATGGTGGTCTCAGGTGAGCGTCCATGTGGCCAACCCGTGCTGGCCCCACCACCCCGAGCCCATCCCTGCTCCTTCCTGTGAACGCAGCCCGGACCTCCAGCCCTCCCCGTTGGTGCCCACCCTCTCAGCAGTGGCTCTGTGAACATCTGACCTGCTTGGGTCAATGCAGCAAGAGGAAAGGTTGCCAGAAGCTTCTAGAAGGTTTTCCTGCTGATAGAGCTGCAGGAGGAAGAAGTGGGTTCTCTTCCTGCTGATGGCATGGGGAGACATTTGGTGACTCCCGGAACCACGGCAGCTACTGGGCCATCAGGAGGGACTGAGGTCGCCAGAGCAGGAGGTGGGAATGAGCCCAGGTCCCTGACCCACATCTGGGCAGCGGAATCCCAGTAGCCCTCAGCCACCTCTGCTTGGGTTTGCCGATGTTGGGAGTTCAACGCATCTGAAGGGACACTGTAGGCCTGGAGAGTGTCACCGAATAATTCTGCAAACCAAAGTCCTCCAGTTCCATGCCTGGGGTTTTGGAGGAAGAAAATGATCCCATTGTAAATTGGAAAATTGTCTAAAATGGGAGTGAAAGGCATGTAGATTACATGCATCACAAGGTAAAGGACATAAATGTGAAAGAGAATTAGGTTGGCACAACAGGGTATCGAGAAAAATAATGCCTGTCATGGCGGCCCTGAGCACAGGGGGCCCAGGCTCTCATGGCGGCAGCAACCGCATGTGGCGTTCGGGTGACCTGCCCCATGTCTCGCTGCCAGGAAGACCCAGCGTGGGCAGTGGGGGCCAGGACTCCATTCCTCCCAGGGGCTCGGGGAGGGAACAGTGTTCTCCAGGCCCCCCACCAGCCGCAACTCCTGGGTGGTGGTGGCGTCGCTTGGCTGTTTAGACGTCTGGCGCCATCCATCAGCCAGCTTCATAAACACCCCAGAGGCCCATGAGCCGAGTGGCCCCACGGCCGGATCGGGGGCGAGCTCGGGGAATCCAGCCGGAGGGGCTGCCGATTGGTGCCCAGAGATTCCAGGCACCACGGCACCAGCAGGGTCTTATGACAGGTGAGGTGGGAGTTACTCATTAACCCGCACACGGCCCGGCCAGAGACAGTGAGCCGGTGAACTGAGCCCACCTTGGAACAAGAGCACGTTTGTTCGTGCTGCAAGGGCATTGGGGTGCTGGGCTGCAGAGCTGTGGGCGCGCCCTAACGGCTGAGGGCAGCGGGGGGTGCAGGGGCCCACGTCCTACCCGGGCCTCAGTCCCCTTGGCAGCCATGAAGAAGCTGGTGGCCCCTCCCAGTGGCTCCGTTATTCGGGAGGCCATTGAGCCCAGCCGCGGGGGGCTTGGTTGCGGGAGGGACGCCGTTTATCGACACCCACTTTGCAGGGTCAGTGTTGAGCACCGACTGGGTGCTCTGGGCAGTTTATAAAGCCTCCCTTTTAGTCTCCACGGCGGCACCAGCCCGCCGACAGGTGTAGAATAGGAAGGTATGGACGCGGCTGGTGTCTGGTCCCCGCAAACAGAGGACTAGCCCACGTGGCTTGGCAGGCGAAGGGGCCCTGGGGTCAGAACCCACGCAGTGCCAGAGCTTCAGCCCGTTCCTGCCCGGGTGTGAGGCTGCAGGTCCCCTCGGAGTGGGAGACTTCGGCTGAAATGTGCTTGGCGTGCCCTGTGCTGGCCTCTAAGGCCTGCGTTAATCATTGAGCCGCAGCGTCTGTAGACACCCCTGTTTGGGGGTCGGGGGGAGCCACACTGCTCACTGGGTGAATGACCTGAGGCCACGCCCATCCCGCTGGAGAGCCATGTCCTTGAGAGCTAGCTCAAGGTCAGCTCCAAGATTCTCCCCACCGTATGGCCTATGGCGGCCTCATGCTCTTGGCCAGAACCCAGCGAGGTTCTGACTCCACATCCTTCTGTCCCTGAGGAGGAGAACCCCGAATTCAGCTTAGAAGGGGGGGCACATGAACGGAAGCTGGCAAGAAGGGGATTTGGGCGTGCCCCCTTGCTGGATGACCTCTCACCTGTGGCCCCTCCTTGTGACCTCCTCACCTTTGACTCCTCACCTCTGACTTCCTTACCTGTGACCCCCTGCTGGGTGTGACCCCCTCACCTGTGACTGCCCTCTCCAGCCGCTGACCCTCACGTGTCCCCTTGGCGTCTGCAGGGCACGGCCTCCGTCCTCCAGCGCCGGTCCCCCAACGAGGAGTACGTGGAGGTGGGGCGCCTGGGGCCCTCTGACTACTTCGGTGAGTCTGGAGTCCCCGCCCTCACAGGGTGCGTGTCTCACTGGGGGGTCCCTGGAAGGGCCCTGAGGTGGAGAGCTGCAGGGGTCGTGTGGGGTGCAGGCCTGGGCGCCATCGACGGATGTGTCCCGGACATGGCCGTCCCCCGGGAGTTCATAACCTCGAGCCCCTAGCCACGCAAGTTCTGGCAGGGGCCCAGGCTGCACACCACGTGGGGTCGCGGCAGATTGATGGGGAGCCATGTGTTTGTACCCCAACACTCCATGGGACATGCTCACACTAAACATGTATTTGTTGGAATCCAGCGGAACTGAGCGGTGTGGGCAGCCCTGGGGGCCGGGCCCCTGACCACCCTCTCGCCCCCCAGGGGAGATTGCGCTGCTGCTGAACCGGCCCCGGGCGGCCACCGTAGTGGCCCGGGGGCCCCTCAAGTGCGTCAAGCTGGACCGGCCCCGCTTCGAGCGTGTGCTGGGCCCCTGCTCCGAGATCCTCAAGAGGAACATCCAGCGTTACAACAGCTTCATCTCCCTCACCGTCTGAGCCCTGCAGGCCTGCGGCCCCGCTTCCCTGTGGTGGCGTGCTCGTCTGTATCCGTGGGCTGTGGGGGTGGGCGCCCCGGACACCCGGGGCTGCCCCTCCCTCCGGACTCATGTTTGGAATAAAACAGTCACCCTGTGCATTGCAAAAACAAAGGTCCCCCAAGACCCCCAGGCCGAGGAGATGCCGGCGGCCCCTCCCCACGTCCCTCCCCCTCTGCAGCCAGTGGGCTCATCGTCTCGGGCCCAAGCCTCTGGAGGCACACGAGCCAGCTTGCCCCCAGTGGCCGAGGGGCCAGCCATGAGTCCAGGCTGGCCCGGGTGGGCTGGGTTGGCTGGGTCAGGCCATGCAGGTGCCACCGTGCCCTGGGGCCTTGAATGTCACGGGGTGAGGGCTGCAGTCCCCAGTGTGGCTCGCTGACCTCCAGGGGGGTGTCCCAGAGGGACCCCAGCTTCCAGGGGAAGTCAGTGTAAGGGAGAGAAGGCCCAGCTCCTGAGGGTCCTGCCAGAGACGACAGGCATGAGAGCTTCTGGTGACCCTCCCTTGCCCCTGGACCCAGGCTCACAGGAACCCTTAGAGGAGGGACGGGGTCGAGTGGCGTGCCATCGCCTTCGCTGGAGCTGGGGATGCTCCACCATCTGGGGAGCATTGTCCTCCTGGAGTTGGGGTGGGGCCTGGATGACGTCTGCTCTTCAACTTGTTTGCAAAGCAGCTTCTTGGAGACTTTCTGAGGGAGGGGAGGGGTTTCCTAGACACATTATGGGTAAAGTTGTGAGAGCCAGGGTCTCCTTCTGAGTTGTCCAGCGATGCCCACTGGACATGTGCCCTTGCCCTGGGAGACAAGTGTGGACCAAGGTCCCACCCTCCTGAAGCAGGAAAAGTAGCAAACAGCTCCAGGCCCCACACTCTCAAGTCCATGATCCACTGAGTGCCCCCATAGATGTGTTTTCCGTCCAAGCACCCCGCGAACGAAGAGGCCTGGGGGCGGTGCAGAGCCTCATGGTGGCTCCCGGAGTCACAAACGAGATGGTGCAGTTACCCCGATTTTGCTCTTCCTGCGCACGTCTGGGAGGCTGCCGGTCCCAGGTGGCCCCCGGCCAGCCCTGCCTTTGCCCGTGGATTTTTTGTGATGCCTGCCCTATTTATCGCGACGTTCTGAATGCTGCATGTAATATTAAATGTGCAATGAAGTATCTCCTCCCGACTTGCGCTTTTAGTCTGAAATCCTTCACAGAGGAGGGTTTTTCTATTGTTTTTACTGTGGTGAAATACATGTAACATAAAATTGACCGCTTTAACCATTTCTCAGTGTGCATTTCAGGGGCACCGAGCACATCCATGTTGCTGTCAGCCGTGCCCCTGTCCAGCTCCAGAACGTTCCATCCCGCACACGGAGACCCTGTCCCCGTGATGCACGGACCCCCACCCGCTCCCCCAGGCCCGGCCCCGCCGTCTACCCTCTGTGTCCGTGAGTCTGACTCCGGGACTTCGTGGGAGTGGGGTCCCCATGCGTGTCCTTCCGTGTCTGGCCGGTGTTCTCGGGGTTCGTCCCTGTGGGGGCAGGGGGCAGGGCTCCATTCCTTTTAACAGCTGAGTGATGTCCACTGTATGGACCACGTCGTGTTTATCTGCCCACCCAACCGCAGACAGGGGCACTCTCCCTTCCATCAGCTTGGGCGACTCTGCCCTCCATCCCGTTATCAAGAGCTCGTTATGGTGTTATGGGAATGCAGGAGCGCCAGGCGCTGTGGGGAAGGAGACAGGCCCCTTGCCCACCTCAGGTGCTTCGGATGGGCCTGAGTTTCTAAACCAGCGGGACAGGGGTGATGACAGGGAGCCCAAGGACTCAGTCCTCATGTCCAGACTTTGGAAGCCGCGGTTCTGGGCAGAGCCTAACCCCCTGCTGCAGGCCTCCCCTGGCCTCTCCCAGGCCAATAGGCAGACTTCAGCCCCACAGCAAAACAGGGGCCCCCATGGAGCCCCGTCGTTCGGGACTGCCGGCGGTGGGTCCGGGCTCCAGCCTTGCTGTGGGGCTGGGAAGGGCCCATGGGAGCAGGGGTGGGGGGCCGCCAGCCAAGCTCCTTTTCTCATGGCTGGACAGGGGCCACGCTCCTTGGGAAAGCCACCACCAAGCCAGGAACAGGGACGCCAGCCCCCATACAGGTCCATCTGCCCTGCTCTGGCCGTGTGGGAATTCCAGACCAAGGAATGACCCAAGGAAGGTCAGCAGTTGGTGGGTCCGGGACGGGGAGAACCCTGCATGAACCTTCCCTGAAGTTGTCCCTTGGGTTGGTAAGAGGTGGTGGGTGGAGAAGGGTCTCCATGCACAGAGGATGTGGGTGAGAGGTGCAGCTCTCGGCCCTGAGCCAAGATCCCTCTGGGGGGGCGTTGTAGTGAGACCCCTGTCTGCCCGAGGTCGGGCCAGAGGTGAGGTTCTGAGGAGCGTACCCAGGAGGGCTCACCGGGTGGTGGTTCGCACGCTAGAGCACGTGGTCTTTCCCGGGAGGCTCTCTTGGACCCCCGTGCTGGGCTGGTTGGCCTGCCCTCGAGTCCCACCACCCCCAGGAGCTTTCTGAAGGACCACAGTGCTGGCCACCTGAGGTTTCTGGGCTCCTCCCATGGACCCGGGGCCACGAGGCCACCTGGCCACCAGCTGTCCAGGTCATGTGGTCCCGGATGCTCAGAACGGGATGCAGGAAGCCGCGTGGCATCACTGGGAGGGGTGGGAGCCTGGGACTGGCAGGGGTCTTCAAACTGTTTGTCTGCCATGTGTTAGGAATTCAACACATACTTTGCTCAAATCTCTTATTAAAATATCTATTTGAACAATAAAAAACCTTCACACTTCAAAGCACTGCATGATAGAAATGTAATGTGAGCCAAGTATGTCATTTTAAGCATTCTAGTACCACTTTGAAAATAGGAGTAAAAGAAGCAGGTGAGATTCAGGTTTTTGTGCTAAAACAGACATAACATAGAGTCTGGCGTTTTCACCATTTTTAATGTGGTTTTATGCACAACTCTAAGCACCACCACGGTCTGTCTCCAGAACGTTCCACCCCCCTCAGTGTCCCTGTGGCACACTGACACCCACCTGCTCCCCAGCCCCGCATCTGCTTTCTGTCCCTGTGGAGAAGCTTATTTTAAGGATACATTTTATCAGGGGCACCTGGGGGCTCAGTGGCTTAATCGTCCAGCCCTAGATCTCAGCTCAGGTCTTCGTCTCAGGGTCGTGGGTTCCAGCCCCACCCCCGGCTCCACACTGGGCATGGAGCCTACTTAAAAATAATAATATCAGTAGTATATTTTGTTTAACTCAGTATGTCGAAAACGTTGTCATTTGCCCTTTGAGCGTATTATCAGTGCAGAAAACAGCGGATAAGAGACCCTGCTCTCTGGGAATTGCGTCTTTGGTGTTGGTGCACATACTCCTGCACCACTTGTCTGCGGGCACGTTTCCTGCGCCCGACAACGGCGACGTGTCGCTGGCGGCTGCCCCTCTGGACAGCGCAGCTCCGCATGATGGCTGCCGCGCTCGCGGACCACGGGTTTTTGCAGACCTGGGGGCAGCCTCCTCCTGTGCCCTCGGATCCGATCTGCGTGAGCATGGATTCTCCTGAGCCGGTGAGAACAAAGCAAACGTGGGAATCAGCTGTTTGTGTGCGGCCTTCATCCGCAGCCCTGGACACGCTCTGTCTTTGTCAGAGAGGCCTCAGCGTCCTCCTCAATTGCTTCTGTTAAAGTTACACATGAACCCGTAGGGGACGTATGTGTAAATAAGTTGTCCTTCTAAATCCATTAGAGATCTGCCAACATTCTTCCCTTCAGCACCCTGTGGCTTAGCACGTGAAGGTCCTGGTTTGAGGCCAGAGCGCCCCGGAGGAAAGGGGGCCCAGGCGCCCGACACCGGTGGGAACCTGGGGTGTTGGGCCGGGCTTGGGAGGCACAGCGAGAAAGACTAGGGGGGAGACTCCAGGCAGAGCGGAGGTGGGTGTCGAGCGACCCACTTGAGGGAGTCAGAACTGGGATTGGGGTCTGGAGCCTCTCTGTTACCTCTCGCCATGTAACAAATTCCTCAAATTCGGCAACCCCAACCATCACGCGCCTACCGTGTGGCCGTGTCTGCGTGTGGGGCAGGCGTGGGGAGCAGCTTAGCTGGGCGGTTCTGGCCTGGGTCCCTGGCAGGGCGGAGGCCAGGGGGCTGGGTCTGCGTGCCCTGGGGCCGCCTCCCAGGGCCATCCCGCCGTGGGCAGGAGGCCTCGGTTCTGACACGGGACGGCTCCCGGGGCCGCCTCGGCTTCCCCACCACGTGGCGACGTGGCGTCTGGCTTCCCCCAGTGAGTGGCCCAAGGGGGCAGTGCCTCTTAGGACCTCATCCTGGAAGTCACTTTGAACCACGGCTGTTCATTGGCAACGGTCACACTTGCAGGGAAGCAGGATGTCACAGAACCTGTGGGTGGCCCCGAGGTCAGGGCTCTCACCGATGGGTCACCCTGGCCGCTGCCAGGGCTGTTGGTGGCCAGATGCCACATGAGAAGTGAACCCTGAGCCATGCCAGGGGCCCTGGGCACCTCCGACACCGTGGGACGGTGGGTGTCCAGACCACCACAGGCGGAGAGGCCACGTTGCACTCTGAGGTCCCGTTTTATAGATGAGAAGCTGGAGGCTGGAGACGGTGGTCCCTGCCCACTAGCCCTCCCCTACCCCTGTCTGCAAGGCTGGGCCTGGCCGGCCATGCCGCCCAGCATCCTCCCACCATCCTCAGAGACTGTGTCCCGGCGTGGGCGTGGGGCCACACGGAGCCACAGAAGGAAGGCAGATGCGTTGAGCCCCCAGGTCTGGCATTTTGTTACAGCGGCTGGAGGCAGCTCATACAGAGGCCTAGCTGGGATTGGAGCGGAGCTCTGTGTCCATCTTGGAGGCTGGGGTCCACCACCAGCCGTGCTGCTTCGAACTCAGGCCCCCTCCCAGGAAGTCCCGGGCCTCGGAGGGTGGGCTCTGGTCCCTGCTGCCCACTGTGGGGCCCGTGGGCCAGAGTAGCATCTTCCCCAGCTGGGCCCTGGGCCTGTTCCCTCTGGCGCCAGGCGGGCACAGACCCGGTCTTGTAGGGCTTGTGAAAGCGTACTTTTGTGTGCCTGAGACAACAAGCCGGGCGATTGTTCCTGCCCCATCGCGGCCCCCAGGGCGGTGCCAGGGGCGCAGTACGGAATAACTGTCGGGAAGGGGTCCGCGCTGGAGGGGCTGGTGGATTGTGGCCGTGTAGACTGGGCCACGCACCCCCCGACCCCCAGCCGCCTCTGTCCCTTGTGGCCCCGTGCCTCTCGGCTGCCCTGGGGGCTGACGTGGACACCACAGTCCTGAGGAGGCTTCCGGAAGGGGTCAGGGTGTGGCCGGGCAGGCCTGCAGGGTGAACCCCGTGAGCGCAGGTGCCCGGGGCTTCGCAGGCTGGGCACTCAGTTGGCCCCGATAAACATTTGAATAAATACATAAAAGCAAACTTCTGGTTGAAGGAGGGAAATGTTGGGAAATTCAGCCTCTGGCTTCCACAAGTTGAAAAAAAGGGAAACTTTGACCAAGGTCTCACACCTTCTACAAAAACGAGCTCAGAACAGCTCACAGCTTACACATAAACACAGAAGTATAAAACTTAGCACAAACAGGAGCTCCTCGATCTCGAGCCGGCTAGGAAATTGCTCTGAGACTAGACGCCCAACGCAGTCTGTAAAAGGGAAATTGGATTACTTGGAATTCCTGAAAATTAAAACCATTTGTCCTGCAACAGCCTCTGAAAAGTCAAGCTGCAGACAAGAAGAGGTTTTCAAACCACATGTCCCACGAAGGGGAGAGCTCTGGACACTCAGCTAAGGCATGAGCAGGCGTCACACCCCACGCAGGTGGCAAATACGGGCACAGAAAGACGTTCAGATGGTTGGGGGCCACGAAGGGCCAAGGAGACCGCAGGGACCGCACCCCACACCTGTCAGGGCGGCTGCAGGGAAAAGTGTGACAACCCCAGGGCCGCAGCATCACCCACTCACGTGTGCTCGCGCACTCGCGCTCTCTCTAATAAATAAACCTTTAAGAAACACCAATAAAAACCGAACCTAACGTGCAACTACCATATGACCCAGCTACTGCGCCCTTGGGCACTTGCCCCAGAAAAACGCAGCACCGCATGGGAAGGCTTGTGGTAGCCTTACTCACACGGCCCCAGGCTGGAAGCAACCCAGACGTCCTTCAGCGGGCTGTCCACGAGCTGCCACGGGACGCGGCTTGGCCACGGAGAGGAGCC